AAAAAAAAAAACATGTTGTGTCCAAGTTATCATTTTTTAACAGTTTTGTGAATCTAGCCCCGGGCAGATGGGGTCCATAAGCTTCCAGTTCACAGGTCCCGTGGTTGTTCTCCTTGACCTTAAATATGATTAGGTGGACAGGCGAGTCTGAATATCTAACCACTTAGTCATCACGTCGGACTGTCGGTCCCTCCCGCAGTGTGAGCCACCAAGCTATAGGGAGAGCCTCTTTTAGCAGGTCAACCTTTTCCTCCACATTGGTGCAGGTGAGAGTGGTGGGGGACCAAAAAAATAGCTATTATGCATACGAAACCACCACACCCGTGGCCAAGCTTCCCTTTGACCCGACAGAATGGGAATGACTAGGCTCTAAACCGATGCACATTTGGAACTACACAGTCAAAGGGGGATACCGAACATCACGCCAGAGCCAGCCGATCAGCCAAACGATAGCGAACAGATGGGCTCGAGACTCGCCGCCAGAGCTTAAACTATCACAATCTTTTGACTGGTCAAGATATGCAAAGATCATGCCCACAAACCATAGGTCTCTGCAGTGACAAATCTTGCATCGCTGCCTCCCCACCCCCAATTGACTCGTATCTAGGACTAACCTGGAACAACAATGGAAGTTGTCCCCCATCTGCGCATATTGTGAGAGAACCCGCACGCTGGCTAGAGCAACCCTCAAACACTACTTACTGGCGTGCCCTATCGTCACCCAACTATGGCAATGGTGGGATGCGGCCTTTCACTCCCTCACTGGATATCACATCCCCTGGGACCTCGGCCTCTTGCTGCGGAGAGACAATCGCCACTTAATGGCACATTGGTCCCCGTTCGCGACCAACCTTTTTTCATATACAAGGCTGCATATTGTTATGTTGGCTTGGAGAGTCAGGTGCTCATTTGAAAGAAAGGACCACCAATTTGGCCTGCAGCAGGCGCAACAAGCGGTCGAAGAGCAAATCATGACCAAAACCCAACAAGCATGGAAAAGCATGAAGCGCTAATTCTTTGAGGAGAAAGACCCTCCCATCAAGGAGGTCATTCGAGACTCCTATATACCAATCTGGCAGGACCCTAACAAACTCTTTTTGGAACTTGACACCGCTTTGGACATCACGTGGAAACCACGGAGGAGAACAAAACCAGATTGGCAGAGGAAACCCTTTAGCGACTTTCAGGTCTCGTACCTTCAACCCAACTTCGTCCTCCTACCAACTCCTGAACCGCCTGCCCAACCATGCTCGATGCACCCATTCCGCTCACTCCCCCCCCCTTCACAATCACCCCACCGCCCACCGCTGCTCGCCCCACCACCCACCCCTGCTCACCCAACCGATTGATAATGGAGGACTAACTGGTAGCAACAGGCATCAGCGGCAGCAATGACACCAACACCGGAGCGACTACTCATATCTCGCTGCCACATGCTCCGCTGCTGGAACTCTGAACTTGGGGGAGCATCCTGTTGCTGCGGGCTTCAAGGATCAATGAGGCGGCATGCAAGGGTTCTGCATGGGTTCTGCACGGGCTCTAAGAGGGTATAAGGTCTAAGGGGTTTAAAGACTCTTTTCACCTGACCGAGATATAATGGAGGACTAGCTGGTAGCAACAGGCATCAACGACAGTGATGACACCAACACCGGAGCGACTACTCATATCTCGCTGCCACATGCTCCGCTGCTGGAACTCTGAACTTGGGGGAGCACCCTGTTGCTGCTGGCTTCTAGGATCAATGAGGTGGCATGCATGGGTTCTGCATGGGTTCTGCATGGGCTCTGAGAGGATATAAGGTTTACGGGGTTTAAAGACTCGTGAATAGTGGGGGACTGCTGTATACGGTTGACCAAATTGCAAAAGGGACGCTCCTAAAGAGATGGGGAATACAAGCAGCTCTTTGGGACAACAGAGACCAGGCTTTGAGATAGAATATTCACTGTTTCTTTCTTGACTCGGGCGAACTTGTGTTGTTCTCCCCTCCCGTGCTCCACCAGAAAGATCCTAGTTGTAGTGGCGGCTATGTGGAAACACGGAGTTCCCTGGCATCCGAACAAGTCCGGAGCGGAGATGTGTACTAGTTTGGTGAGACATGATAACTGTTGACGAGCCGTCAGGAATACCGACAAGTCCGCCGGCATCCGAACTTCGTTCGTTGCCAATGCTGGTGGACATGTAAAGTCTGGGCCACGAAGATGTGCCGCTTACCGGGTGGACTCTGACGACGACGGACTTTGGCATCAGTTCCGTTGCCAGGGCGGCGTGAGCTTCGAACAGCGCCAGCCTGCGATTCCCGTTCCGCGGGACGCCAATCTGAGTCTGTTGGAATCCGGACTTCGGAAATTCTTGTCTCGCCAATGAAGCAGACGCCGGGGTCCCGAACGGCTTCAGTTCCGATGTGTTTGTCGGCCGACCACCTACAAGAAGTGCCAAACAGTCAGCGGTTATCTTTGCGGACTGCCGAAAGCACTCTTAGGGGACCTTGCTGGTCGGTTGTCAGAGCCTCCTTGTTGGATCTGGATCTGTTTTGAGCAGAGTTTCGCACTCCACAAACAGAATTCCCCTCCAGTTCCCGCAGGTTAACAGTTGTTCGGGCAATCG